ATAGACCTAATTATATCACCAATTAATAAACATATACTAATTAGCAAAAAAAAAAAAAAGTACCAAAGACTAGAACGTAACTAAAAATATATATGTCTATGAAGTGTAACTATACCAAGACTAAACATAGCCATTCCAAGACCAGCATCAGATAATATTGAAATCGATCCACTCATTATCGTTGGCATCTTTATATTCCACCTGTCCCATAAAAAAGTTATCAACAACATCAAACAATTGACCAAGATATTGTTATGTTATATGGTTGTGACATTATTATTAGTACTTACTTGAAGGAAACTAGGGACCAAGCGAGGCCAAAGAGACTAGAGTAAGTGTTAGGGTTTCTAATAAGTTTTCTCCAAACCATTATCAGTATTAGTCTCGTCATCACACTCGCCGGCGGCATCTGCTGTTTCCTCGGACCAGGACCGCCGTCTTCCACGTCACTACCTTTTTTGCCCATGTAAGGTGACTTTCCCTCGTTATTACCGTCTTGGTCCATTTCCACATGCCCTTTTCTTCCCGGTGACATGTTCTCTATCAGATTCTGCATCGCTGTCATCATCAAGTATATATGAATATTATACATTTCAAAGAAAATACTAAATTTAGTATATTATGATTTTTTTGGCACAAAAAACTAACTTATAGAATAGAACTGAACGGAACCAACAAAATTCGTTTTAAATTTTCATAAATTCAAAACCGAAAATAGAAAAATTTATAACCGGAATTGGAATTTACATATTTTTACTAGAAGTTTTAAAAAATAATAGAAGGTCAAATAATAAGCAATGAAAAAAAATAATAAGTGGGAGATTAATAAACCTTTAGAAGCGAGGTTGTCGTGAGAAGGAATAGAAACTTTAGGGTCGGTGGATACATCGGTGGAGGAACCTCTGGTCATAGCATTCCTCGCGTTGGCTTCCGACACCGGAGAAGCACTCGAACTCCACACGAACATGTTCATCTCCTTGTTCTGTCCTCCTACTCCTCCTCCGCCTCCACCGCTTCCTCCGCCACCACTTTCCTTTTTCTTGACTCCACTTGCTCCACTCGTTGACCCCGTGAACATTGGGTTCGGTGGTGGGTACGACGGAACTGACCATAAATATAGAAATATATCTTAACTAACATTATATTATAATGCAAAGGATAATCACATTCAAATATTTTTATTTTAAATATGAATATGCAAAAATAAAAAATAAAAAATCATACCACTATTATTGTTGTATAATTCCCCACTCATACTTCTCCCTCCTCTTCCTGCTTTCTTTGCCGTCTTCATAACTTCCTCATCAAAATTAGACGTTCTTGGCGTCACGCCTTTGGAAGACTGAAGCGAGTAAACATCTCCACCGGGACCAGCTCCGGCGCCTCCGTAGCTATTAGTGTAACCGTGACGAGGGCTCGGAGCTTTGCTTGCGTTAAACATTGCGTAGAAATCTGTCTGATTAAAGCTCGAAGCTCTCGGCGTCGGCTCTCGTGACGATTGAACGGAGTAAATCTCTACGCCGGTGAGATTTGAAGCTCGTGGCGTTATCATGGAGGAGTTAAGTCCTCCGCCGTGAGATTTGTTGAATGATGAGATCATTGATGAGGCGGCGCTTGATCTTCGAACCACCACGTGTAGCTTTCCGTCGTCTCCTATCTCCGCATCGGTCTAATGAAAGATAAAACATATTTTTAGGTGATGAAATTTGAGTCGATGTGATCTAAACCGGTTATAACCGAACCGGTATTAAAAGAAGGGAAAACACTACACAACATTTTATAATTTGATGTTTCTTCTACTTCATATTAATAATTTCTGCATGAAAATTGTAAATATCAGTTTACGAAAATTGTGACTAAACTATAATTTAATATGCATCGGATGGAATATTATGTATATATTATATGGATTAAAAGAAAACTAAATAATTTGGATTGACTTCTGAAAAAGGAACTCGAACATTAAAACTTTCTAGTGTAAAAATTCATACCTGGAGGGGTTCACGGCCATTGAGAGAGATAACATCAGAATCAACTCGGAAGGAAGTAATTGAACCAGCCGTCTCCGGGAACTGCTCGGAGATCAGAAGCTTAGCACCACGGAACTCAAACAAGAAGAGCATTAATGTATACCATATGATGCTCTGAAGCACCACGATCTGCACCATTAGGTTACCGGAGAAGTCCCCGTACATCGCCCGAAGCAATGGGATTCCCATTACCAGCGTGTTTGGTAGTGTTGAGAGCGAGAAGAGCGTTATCATCCATTCTAGGCTTCCTCTGCGGCTAAACGCCTGAAAATAATATCACAATATATGTCCAAATATGAGAATGTGTGTGTAAGTGTGTTTAATTAGAGACACGTATATATTAACAAAAAGACCTAAAGTGTTAACTAAAAGATCTACCCGTGTTAAATGACCTAGTTATTATGTTGGTTCACGTCTAGTAGTATATTACAAGTTTTCTATAACCAAAATGTTTTCGAGTAATAATTGACCATCATAACGATTACTAATATAGACTACCATCACTTAATCAAACAAAGAGAAATGAAGAGAGATTATGTGCATAGAGAGATTATTGAAAGAGACGGGCCTGCCAAAGAAAGAGTGCGGCGAGGATAACGACTTTCTGAAGAGAATCAGCGGCGAGGAAGTGGTAATTCATGGCATAAGGATCATTGGAGGAGATGAAATGGAAAGAAAGAAGAGGAACTGCGAAAACCGCAACAAACCGGTTTATACCGGAACATTGGTCCGGTGTAAATATTCCCCACCATCGTACCGAACCGTAGGCTAATATCATAGCAACGTATAGCGGCACCATAGCCGCTAAAACGTCGTACATGTCTTTGCCGGTGATCATTTTGCTTTATTTTCCGGCGAGAGAGAGAGAGAAGAAAAAAATAGAGATGGTGATGAATAAGTATATGTGGTGTGGTATAACGTATTTATGGAGGAGGAAGTGAATTAAGTTCCTTGAGACGATACTTAATTAATGTTGTTAATTTGTTGTGTTAAAATAATAGGATTCGTGTTCAAATTGAATTATAGCTAAGCTAAGCTATATATAGAGGATCGTTTGACATTTGAATATTAATTAAACAAAATATAAACCAAAACGCTTTTTTTCTTCCTCGGTATTTTGTGAATGGACAAATAGTAATGCAGTAGTAATTTCAATTTGGATGACTAAAACGATTATCTCAACTACAAGTGTTACATGATACGTAGTGTTTTTTTACCCTAGATTGTAAACCATTGGAGTTCCGAACATCCGGTCCATAATTTTTCTTACTGTCCTAGATTTATTTTTCGTCAATACTAGATATTTTACACTTTAATAAATGTGTAATCCTTCTTTATTTATTTCTTCTGCAAAAAGCCGTTATATTTAATTTGAAGAAAACAAAGAATCTTATCTTGGGATAAGGAAGATTGGTTTACCTTCTGTCTCGTGGTCTAATATTATTTGAAGTGAAATTAAATGCTTCAGAGATTATAATTACACAAATGTTAGATGCAAAATATCTGTAGAGTCAGATACTTGGATCCACTTGTACGTGTAATACAAATTTGTAAATTTAGATTAGATTTTATATTAATAAGATAACAAAATTGAGTTTTTGTGTAAGCTATTGAAACGGCGAAGGATGATGGATATGCACATGGTGTTGAGAGCATCTAACTACACTTTCTGAGCGATCTGCGGTTCCCTGTAAAGATCTGATTTTAATCAGGAAACATACAATTGTAATTAGTTTATTTTCTAATCTTGAAACGGTGTATTTTTTGTTTTTAAACGAAATTTTACAACTTTACCAATAGAAGATAATATTTGTTATTTTTTTCATTAGAAAAATCTTAATGATTTCTTATTAATTGTACAGTCAAAGACATTGGCAATCGGACCGGATGAATAATTAGCCTCCTTCCATATTTTAATTGTCGTGTTTTCATATTGCAACTGTCTACGTATTCATCACACCACGTGATTGGGCCTAATGGACCTTGTAAATCCCATGTATTTTGAAAACCCTACGCGTAAAGAGGAAGACGAATCTTCTTCTTTGGTAGCAAATCTTGAAATGACTATGGCTTCTATAGATGCTTATTTCTACACACGGTGTGCTTCCCTCAACGGCTTTATCTGTCTTTCACACGAAGGTCGGTTCATGAATCATAATATATAACCCTCGTACGATACAAGTCATAACGTTACCCGAAATCGAGGGTACTACGTGGAAGTCTACTTATAAATATTTGGGGTACGATCTGGTTGATAATCGATACAAAACAATGTGTAAGAGGGTTTCACATTATGAAGGTGATCAAGAGCACATGGCTTTAACACTTGGGAGGTGATACAAAAACTTTCACGGCGACGCATTGAAATTTGAAGGCACTACCCGGGATTATTATCCTTGAACAAAGGGAATATGCAATAATGGGTTTTTATTTTAAGGCGCTCACACTACTACCCTATTTAGGATCCCGGTGAGTGTGTGTTTTGATGTTAAATCAGAGAGGCTAAGTTTTATCAAACCACCTTTGGGGTTCATTTCCGTATGGGAATCTACTTCAACTTTGATAAACTACAAAGAAAAGGTGGCTATTAGGAGATGTCAAAGAACATAAATGGTTGATTTTCAAATCATGTTAGGTGGGATTCTTCACGAGAAGTTCCAATGTCTTTTCAAAGCACCAACAAGATGTGCGAAATTATTGTTTCTCCAAAGTTTTTACTCCACAACCGGAATTTCTACATTTTCTATTGCGATGTAGAAAACGGAAACATTAGAAGAGTTCAGATTAAAGGAGTTGCACATGATGAAGATTTTAGGAGTCGTTATGGAATTGCAGAAAATGGTAAATGCCATGTCTATATTTCACCTGACATATATGGTAGATATATTAGCTTTATATAATGTGCTTTCTTTTTCTAAGGGTCGATGAAGTTATTTATATAAGAATAAAGGCCTTCAATAAAGATCTTGGTTTAAACTTTATCCATGTTTTTTGTTAACTCATGAATTGAAAGAGAACAACCAAAATGAATGTAACCAAAAATATTGAAAGATTCAAACTTTGCTTGCAGAATCCTCCTTCTTGCAGGCCACTTCACCACTTTCCAACGGTGTTGAACAAAACCTCTTCTGTTAGATGTGATCATAGATTTGGTTGTTCCATTGAACATTTGTTTACCGCATATTGTCTATATAGCCCCTTGTCCACGACCACCACATAGAGGTTGGGGTTTTTTGGGAAGTTTCGAGCTTAAGAGAAGTCACGGATTGCTTCATTGGCTCACTGTTTTGTTACAAGGAAATAAAAGAATCCATAACTTATGTGCTTTGTATATTTTCATGTTGTGGCTTCAATATCCATACCTGATCTAGTGATCTTCATGTTACATTTGACAACCACTCATTATGATTCGTGTTGCTCCAAGAGATCAATCTCTTTCAAACCTGCATAATTCAACAAACAATATTTAATCCTCTCCATTGTTTAGACCTAGTATCCGACAGACTTACAGCAATGAATGGCAACAACCATTTGTTTTCTGGATTTCCAAACATCAAAGAACATCATGCTTCAGTGTAGAATGAAAGACCCTTCAATCCCTTCTTGCAAAGGTATGTGCCATACTATGCCTCAAACACGGCATACGTCTAAAAGCTTCAACATGCACTTGAATACTTTCTCTTGACGACTTGACCTCAAGCTCCTTTTTTATCCTTTGAAACTGCTCTTTGACACATTTTGCCTATACATGTTTAAAGTATACGAAATATATCCATTAATTTGGTGATTACATCATTACATCAAAGACTATTCACATATAACAACGTTTTCATGGAAACATAGATATCTAATACCGTGTTAAGAAAAAAAACTTATACATAGCTCGAAGAATCATAACCACTATTTCGACAATAGTATTGGAAAGAGCTCTCACAATTTACAAATAATGTGAAAGAAGAAGAAGAAGAAGAAGGAAAAGAAAGGGAAATGGAAAGGTCACAAGAGGTAGGCCCAACAAAATTCAGAGCCCACAACTATTTTTTCATATCAATGGGCCATACATTATACAGTATCAACAATAATATCAACACCAAAGTTATTGACTTTTAATCAGACACTCCAAACTGAATACCCCAAACACACCAAACCAAAATCCCTCAACCGGTTAAACCCAAAAACTAACCAGCCAGTTCGAACCAGTTACCACTATTAACTATACCGATAATGCCAATATTACCCGTAACTTAAATCCGAGTCCTTGTGTATGTCTGCACATTGCTTAAAATCACAACGAATTTGCCAATCAAATATAAAACTTCCCTTGAAGATGTTTGTTGTATGATCCAACTTGTGCATCGCAGCCTTGTCGAACAAGAGAGAAGGAAAACTACGTCGTTTTTGTAATGGGCCTTTTTGGGTCTTACACAAAGCCCATTTACCTTTTTCTGTTCACGGAGTTGATCTTATCGAGCCTCCACTCGTCTCTAAGCCTGGCGATGAAGTTGTCGGCTTTCGTATCAACGTCCGGGCTTGGACAGAATCCCGGCATACCGCCGCCGCCGACGGCTGCTTTTGTTTTAACTCCGTCGTCAGATTGTGTGAGTTCTAAACCCCAGCCGATGTCGATCACTTCTCGCTCAGGGGAGCTACATCTAGAGCTCTGATTACTCCGTATCTTCGCGAAATCACCACTCACGACGAATTTTAGCGGCGGAACTCTAAATGGAGGCGGTGGAGGTGGTGGAGGCGTAATTTGGATTAACGGAGATCCTTGGCCGTTGTTCTCTTCATTGAAATTCGTCGGTTTCGTCGGACGCGGAGGTCTTCCGGAGTTCACTCTCCGTGTTGGTGTCTGAGGATCAAATTGGGTATGTCTCGGCGGTGGAGGTGGAGGCGGCGCCGGAACCGAATGAATCTTTTTGTTGCTCTTAACTCCTTTCTTAAACAATCCGTAGAATACTGATTGTGACGTTCGAGGCGGAGGTGGAGGCGGTGGTGGAGGAGGAGGCGGAGACGGTGGTGGAATTAAAGATTGGTATTGCGGTGGTTCCGTCACATCTACCACCACCGGAGAAGATTCGATTCTCTCTTTTCTCTTTGATTTCTGAATCTTCTTCTTCCTCTTTCCTTGATTATACAGAGAAGCGAAAACCATCTTAATCTCTTTCGCCGCATTGCTCTTTCTTCGTTGAAGAGTTCCTTGCTTTCTCGGTGGCGTCGCGGTTATCAGCGGCGGAGGAGGTGGTGGAGGCGGTGGTGGATTTGGAGGTTGAAACGCTCGTTTAAACTTAATGTCATTGCGTTTTACGTTTTCTTGTATATCTCTGTTTTTAACAGAACGATGAGTCCTTCTCGGTTTCTGGGAGACTTCAACCGGCGGAGGTGGAGGAGGAGGAGGAGGTGTTGGTGGTGCCGGTGGTTGTTGCGGCGGAGAAGACGGTTTTACAACGAATGTATCAATCTGAATCTCTTTAGGCTCAGATTCTTCTTCGATCTCGATTTTGGAACGATTCTGAAATTCTTCGTAAGAACGATTATGGATTTCGAAATCATCGTAAAACCGGAACCGGCGATCGCCAGTTTCCCTGAAAACTCCTTGTCTCAGATCAGGATACGAACTACAACTACGCCTCAACGGTACAGTTCCGGTAACCGGTAATCCATGAGAGAAACTCCGACTACTCACACTCTCATAAATCTTAAGCCTCTCGGCGTCATACACGTCATCAAACCACTGCTCTGAAACCGCCGACGACGAGGATGAGATTTTGCTAATCTCACCGAGGGTCATTTCACCACTCGTCACAGCTCCTCCTACTTCTTCTTCTTCTCCGCCGTGTAAAGACTCTGACGACAATCCGTCATCGTTTCGTCTAGCGAGTACGCCGCAGAGAATCGCGAAAACTACTAAAACGACGTTTATCGAATCCCATCCTCGTTTCACCGATGACGGCTGAAGAATCTGAGATGTGACCGAGAGAAACGGAGGGATCACAAAGTTCACAAACAAAAGAAAAATCGCCGCTGAAATAACTCCGATCATCGCCGGAACTAACATCGCCGGAATCGGTGATCTCCGGTGAGTATATCCGGTAGATTCAAACTGCGGCCAGATTAGCGGCGGTTGATCGTCCATTTTTGCCGGTATAATTTTTGAATAGAGAAGAGAGCGAGAGAGAAAGAGAGAGACTTTGTCGATTTGATTACAGTACATTAATGAGTAAACGTTTATATAGTGGTCTTATTATTATGTGGCGGAGAGATTAACAATAATATTAATTTTAATTACGTTTACTATGATTAAGAGTTATAATCATACGGACACGGAAAAGAATTGTTGTCATGGTCTTGAACGATGTCGCGCCGAAGATTTGTTAAAATAATATTATTAGACTCAATTCAAATAATTGAGTTGGAAAATTCCTCGAATTGCTTCATTTTAATTCATAAACAGATAATGCACCATAATTCCCAAAATATCAAAAGTTTATATAGTCAAGTTATAATTTCTGACGAATTTAGAATAAAAATTTGTTAGAGATATTAAAAAAAGAGCTATTTGATAATGACATGAAAAAAACTAAGATTGATATGTTATTTTCTCGTAGCCGTCCAACTACATTTTCAGCATTATTATTTGAATAGTCTAATTAATCGGATTTGTTGCATGATTTATAAAAATGATTGATAAATTATTTTCATTTTTTTGAATTGTTGAGGATGTTGCCACTAAGGCCCGTCTTGGATAACCCTTGTTTACAAGCAATGTCCAGCCGTCGACAAGAAGATATATAGTAATATATAAATTTTTGCTTACCAAACATTACACTAATCATGCAAGTAATTAAAGCATATAATGGAACATATCAAATACTAATATTGTTTAGCAAGGAAACATTTCAACACACGATTTCTATTATACCGCGAGATTTTTACTAGCTACGTAAGAAAAAACTTCATGCTCAAGGTAAGACTTCAAGTTTTATTACAAAAATATACTGCCTAGTCAACAAATAAATATTAAAAATCTTATGATGGTGAAATTTTCAGAATAACACGGCGTAACATTCGAAATTAATAATGAATTTTTGGGGACTAAAAGCTTTATTTTTCTTAAAATATATCTCTTGGATTTGTAGTAGATTTCCTGAAATTAATGTAAAGTTTGGAATCTAAACCTCGGGATTTTGTTCACAAAAGTTGCAAAGATTACATTAAGTCGTATTTTGTTATTATATTAATCATTACTGATTTACTGTTACGAATATCTTATTTTATACTGTTTTTTTATATTATTATTATTATTATTTTATTTTTTTTATACTGTTTCCTAAAGAATGTCAAGGCATACATCTTTTACCACGGTGGTTCATAAGACACAAACACATTTGTTTATGTACTCTTAAGGCTTAACATTCTAATCCGAAAGAACAAAAAAAAAAGTAGGACTGAAAAATACTAGAAAAGTTATTTAAAAGTGGATGTTAATAATTATTTGGAACTGTTTAACCATAATTGCAATTGCAAATCCACTAGCTACAGTAATTTTAAGTGAAACAAGAAGCATGTGGAAAAAGTTTTAGATGTAAATTTGCTGAACTTGCTAAATACGCAACACACAACTGACAACACACGACCCTGTTTTTTTCCTATTTGTATCATGTCAAGACTCAAGATGGTTCGTAAAAATACTGTTTTTACATTTTGTAATAACTCAAGTTTTACTTCTACGTTTTTGTCATTACTCTCGCTAAAACACTCTCACGACGATACCCAAAACATGCAATGTTTAAACCAATTTCCTATATGTGATATGTCACTCCGCTCAACATAAATTTCATCCACGTAAAAATGTTATTATCTCTTCATGTATGACTACACAAATCCTATATATGTGATACTTTAAAGAAATGTACGATATTTTGCTTGTACTTAAAAAGTCCACGTATAGTATAAAATTTTGTGTTACATATAAATTTGGAAAATAACTTTAGAGTATGCTCATGCTCTGTTGATAGAAATAATTGGAGCGTGGTTATCATCATTGTAAAGTGTTTACTTACCCTTTTCTCGCACCTTTTGTCGACCTGTCTCTGCTTAAACACACATTTCTTTTTCTACTACAATTATTCGTTTTATAAAACGGAACAAAAGAAAAGTAAATTGCGATCTACACACAAATTTACCCTATGTTGAATAAGTTATCTCCAAAGAAATCAAAGACACATAAAGATTCTTTATCCGTAAAGATTGTTTTAGATTTTTAGTTTACAAGAACAGGATTTGAAATGTGGTGTTGTGCATCTCTTTGTTGTTGTCGGTGTTTTGTATATGGAAAGATGATTTACGCATGTAACGCATCGCAAATGTTATGTATGGTTCATCCTATAGTTAACACAACAAACTATGATCTATGAATAGAGAAAATTGGCAACTTTTTAGATAACAAACAAAAATTTAAATTTAATTTTTTTTGGTATGAATGTTAAGTTTTATACCATTTTTTACTTTTTGACAGAATTTAGGTGTAATTATTTGTAAGCTCGTTGTATTTAGTTTTAAAATCGCTGGTCTTAAAAAAATTAAAGAATTCGTTTACAAAAAGAAAACTCTTGAGTTAAAAACTTTGTACTACCTTATTTATACTTTCTATTATTTCGGTTGGGTAGAGGAGTGGTTATCATGCTTCTAACTTTATAATAGTGCGGTAGATCAAACGATATTGAAATCAAATGTCGATGGTAGCAATAGCATTTTAGATCTTAGATGCACCATAAGTTCTTCAGTACTTGCCACAATATTGTCACATTAGATAAGTGGAAAGGAGCAAAAAAAGTTGAATAAAAAAACATCACTTGATACAAAAGGTGAAAAAGGAAAAAGGGGACCAGCATCCAATCCCAACCCTTTAAACTCATCTTTAATTTCTCACAAACACTTTTAACATTTTTGTAGTTTAGTACATTATGAATATTTCAAATTAAAAGGGTTAGTTAAAAACACTTTTCAACCTAATAATACTTGTAAGCGAATTAATGAATAAACTTAATATATAAACCCTGATTTTTGGGTTGTGTAACGTTCCACCTTATCGTTAATGTGTTGTACACTCGGCCACCACCATTTCCCAATCTATGTCATATTATATTTTTTGGAAACAAACAATTAAATGCTTAATAAAAAGCTGGGATCAGACATTTTTGATAGCCAGAAAAGGGATCAAAACTTATACTAACTTATACGTAACGTAATTTTATTTCTTGTAAATTACTATTTACGTAATATTTTGACATTAAGACAATCCCAAAATTTTAAAAGTTTGAAAAAATATTGGTAGCAACTAAACAAGTTAACAACATGTTACTAAAACAAAACAAAAAAAACAATTTAATAACACATTTATGCTTGAAAATATAGAATTTGATAGTCCTAAAATTATGGCCCTGATCGCCACCAGCTTTTTTGTCTGTGAAAAAGAAATATTATTAATATTTTGAAATTTTGGCTCTTATCTTTCTTATTCAGTGTCCCACTATTAAACCTAAAGACCAAAGAAAGAAAAGTAAGCATTAACTAAAAACATAAATAAAACTATGACCAAAGAAAAGGAGGATAGCGATTTACGTATAAAGAAAAAAATATGGCTTATATTATAAGAGAAAATCGGTTTCGAGAGATCACACAAGGTTTTCTAATATCTCATAAATTAATCAAGAATCTGCAGGTGATTAATTACGTGGGTAAAAAAGTTAGTGAAAGAAAAAGTGATTACCAAAAGGTATTTTGTCCAACCAAATATTTGCTGAGCCATCGAATCAAATAGTTTCCATAGATCAAAATTATTTATTGATCATACATGTGACAAATCCACCAAACATTGATCAGTCTTTTTCTTAAGACTCGAAACTTATAAAATTGTAAGTATCTTCATCAAAAGAGACCGTGATCAGCTTCAGCCAATAGAGTTGTTTGTATTCCATGATAATTGCATAAATCATGTAACACAAACTAGTATCATATACGTTTGTGAAACCCTTGAATTAAACAAGATTTTAGAGAAGCCACCCTTAATACTATTGCTAATTAATTAGTAGTTGTCTGAGTGTATGATTAGTAACTCAATTGGTTAAAGAGATAGTGTCTTAGCTAGCTACCAGATTCAAACCCCAGTTTCCGCGTAAAAGGTTAAGAAGATCCAACCAAAATTGTAGACCGAAGAGTCAGAATTTCTGGTTTTTCTTTTGTTGCTAAACACAGTTTCAAGAATAGTTTTGTTAATATATATAGCAAACAAAGAACGATGATTTAAATAATTGGACACAGATGGACATAAATCTGGAGTTTAGGTACAGATAGATACCTGTACATTGGTCTGGAAACGAGCCAAATTATGGAAATAAAATATATAATTAAAAAAAAATGGAGAAGAAGAGAAAGAGACAGGCTGGGAAAAGAGAGACGCTGGATGAATCGGAAGTATCGCCTAAGTTTCTTGAAACAGCCTGTCTCCCACACGTGCGATTTATACCAGATGATCCAATCGTATTACATGTCGTCTTATTATAGTAGTAATTGATTTATTTATAATAACAATTAAAGCTCTTAATGATTCGATTATTACTTGGAAGAGATCCACAAATTTGTCGTGGCATTAACCTATTGGAAGCTTTTAGCGATTAAGAATTATCGAATCAATAAAACTTCTCTTTGTTGATAAGTACAAAAGATATACGAACCCACCGTACCTATCTTCTATCATTGGACACATCACATTCCGTTTTTACATTTAGAGAGTAGCACATCATGCCGTATTGAAGATTTAATGTACGTTTAAAACGGCTTGGAGTTTGGTCCACTACCTTAATTAGGACTGAAAAACGTTAATTCATTGCATGAAATAACCAAATTTCTATATAACTTTACATTAAAAGTTCATTCAATTTAATTTGTATACATCTTAATTTAAGTATGTTATATGTTGATATAGAGTCTAAATGGTAACATCAAAAAAACATTCAGCTGGATTCAGTCCGATTCAGCAATTCCGCAGTTACCATTTGCATAAAACTAAATTCAGCTGAATTCAACCAGATTCAACAGTTTTTTTTAATACCAACAGATATGTAGATACACTCATTTCTGGTAAAAATTTGGATAATAACGTGTACACACATCGAATTAATATATTTTGGATTATCAAAAATTACACATAAATTTATATTTTAAAATAAATCAGATTATAGAGATGCGATATATGAATAATTCAAATACATAAAACCACTAATAAAATAGGCAAGAAGCGAATTCATGTTCGGATAACTATAGATGATTTTGGATAATTTTATTAATTTTTAGATAATTTAAAATAATTTAAAAATTTTCATAAAAACAACTCACACCTATGCTAAAATATTATTTAAAATAGATTTTTTTAATAATTTTTTTAATTTTTCAGGTCATATTATTGATTAAACTACTAGATAATAATAAAAAAAACACAATTATATAATCTTATTATATTATCATGTTAATTTTAAAAATTAATCTTCCAATAATGCTTTGACAAAACTTCTTTCATTAATTATTTACATATTTTTAATAGTTCAAAAATTATTTATATTTGTAATAAGTTTAGATAATTTAGTATTTATTTATTAGTATAACAATTAATTAGACCACTTGATGATTTTATTTATTTTATTTAGATATCTTCTTTGGTACTCTATTAATATTCATAATTATTTGATGATATTTTTCAGTTAAAGTCTTAATTATTCTGACAGATGGTATCAAAAATCACAAAAAAATTCAGCTAGATTCAGCAGTTACCATTTAAAAATGTAAAAATTCAGCCAGATTCAGCTGAAAATCACTAAAAGTTCAGCCGAATTCAGCAATTCAGCTGAATTCAGCCAGATTCCTCGGTTACCATTTAGACCCATAATGTATTTTTTTTTTATTTTTTTTGTGGCCAAAATATATATTGAGTTATGATTTAAGAAATCTTCAGTAAATGGGCTCCACCGGTGACCAACACATATACTAAACGGCCCACCAGAAAGAAAACAAGTTCATCGTTTAAGGCTAAAGCACAAAATCAATCATTAGAGAATCATCAATCATAGCGAAAAATGTAGCTACAATACAACCATATATTTATGTTGTTTTGTTCTTTGTACGTGTATAAACTCTATAAGTTGTGAACAAAAAATCATACACAGCTTGAGAAAAGGATCGAAGTAAAATTCATTGTTTTATGTGAATGTACATGAGACATCAACTTCCGCGACTATTCCTTTATGAACACAGAACTTACAGGTATGAATGATAAGTTACATAGTTAATTGTATATCTTAAGGATAGTAAAACCACCGGAAAGCAAAAATCACGAGTAACACAAGAGAGAAGCCCATCGCCTGCAACAATTTAATATCAAATTCATAGTCATTTAGATTAATCTAGAACAACATTGTTAGACTCTAAAAACTATCTCTAACCGTAATACGCATACACATGGAATCATATGTAAGAACTTACAGTGATTGCGGAAGCAGCAAGACCGGCTCTTTCTCTAGGATCTTTGCGGTAATAGTTCCCGAAGTAAAGAAATGCAGCATAGTACCACAAAAGTGGGAACATAAATCCCAAGAGAAAGCTGTTTAAGGTAAGTGAAGATTATATTAGGATTGGTTCTTAAGACCCGATAACACGGAATTAACAGGAGAACAGGTACTCACGAGAACCATCCGATTCCACAACCAAAGCATGGAAGAGGTTTGTCATATGCTCCTGTTTCCATGTCATCTACATCTTTTACAAGTGTATATCTTCTTTTCCCACGAGCCATAGCATCTATCAAAACAGAGAGTGTCTTTTACTTCACAGTTATAAGGTGTTGACACATGAATGCTTCATCTTTTCACATCTAATTTACAATAATTAATGGTGAGAATTAGAATTGCTGAACTTGTACACATGACAAGACTAGGTGTGCCTAGGCGGTAATAGTTAGTAAAACGGGTCGTGATACTAACCTTTAAGTGCGGAAGAATATCGAGCGGCTTGTTTCATGAGTTTAGCATGCCTATCAGCAATGAACTTAGCCAGCTCGGTTCTACCATTTCCAGATACAAATTTAGTATCTGCAATAAAACAGATACAATATTTACTTGCACACCTATGGATGAACACATATCCCAAAAAACGCAAAACCAACACATATATATGATATATCCTCCTCTAGAAACTTTGTAGTAGATTTCCAAGACTTGCAACTTCACTCAAACAACATCATTGAAATGAAAATGGACATAGAGAAACAACGTCATCTCGGGATCTCATCTTAATCTAAGTCATCTCAATCTCAATTCAGATAATGCTATTGTGCATACCAAATAACAACTCAAATGCCCCCAAACTTGCATATCATTTGTAGTAGTAATACAGTACTACTCTGTTCCTAGATATAAATGGTACTCTTTGACTCAATATTCTACTACAATCAACCTCAAAGCGCAAAGTTGAAGAGTCAAGAGAGCTAATAAAGGCAAGAAGATAATTACTTTCGTCCATGCTTTAGCTCTTGCTTATTATCCAGATCTTCGATTTCCCTGCATTCATAATGAAAAGTACCTATACATTTCAATCAACAAAGACCAAAAATACAAGTGTGTTTTCGAGCGAAACCCTAGCAGCAACCAAAACCACACTATATATAATTCGAAATCCCCATCAAATCAGCAACCATGAAAACTTCAAACTCGAGATACGACTCGTCTCTTGATCAAATTGAAAATTTTGAGCTCAGTTTCTACAATATAATCCTTAGAAATCAATCAATTTTGTCGATCCATCATCGTTCGTTAAATACCGGAAATTGCTCTGAAAAAAACACAACAAAGATCGCAGAGATAGCTCACCGAAGATAAGAGAATTTAGTGCAAGATTTGTCGAGATGAATCTGGTAATTAAACGAATCTGAAACTGATAATTTCAGACAAAGATCGTGTCTCTTCCTCTTTTTTTCTTTTTTCTTCGGTCCTGTTCAACTTCGTCGGCGCTTTAAATGCGTATAAAGCTGAAGAAGAAAGAAATTGAAACTCTGGAGAAAGTAAAAAACACTCTTTTACTAACCAACGCTTGCTTTTTCCTTTTTACATATTTTCGACTAAAAGCATCATAAAACAATGTTTATTCAAGGAGACAATTACATTTAAATATCATGTTAAATTTCATTTCTTGTTTGTATAATTGTTGATGTGATAAGAAGATGAATTTTTGGGGGATAAAATCTGCCTTACACACCACTTTACCATTAACTTGTTGTCTAAGTATGTATTATTTTGTCTGTATCACCTAAAATCTTAAAATCCACACGTTTTTTTTTTTTTTTTCTGACTCACCGATTTGACATACAAAAATTAACCCAAATGAAAAATATAGTGGTGATAATATTAATTTTTGGTGAAGTCTTCCCAGTTCCTACTGCTGTTAATTAACATCTGAGTCTCTAACTGAGAGATAAAAATGATGTAAAACTATTAACCAACCACACACAAATTTAATATGGAGAAAATACAAGTTATAAAACATCAAATAAATATTTACGTAGATGAATGTAGTGTTTATTACAACTAACCCCCAAGATAAAAAAATTCACAAGGGGACTTTTGTTTGGAAGCTACATTATATCATGTTAGTAAAAAAAAAAAGATTAAACAATGGTGGGAAGACTAAACAAAGTAAATAATAAAACTTAAGAAGGAAATTAATATTACAAACAATTAATAATGTAATTATTACCTGTTTATATTTTTTTTCTTCTCTTAAGAGAATTTACCCACCATCAAAACTTTTTTTCATTTTTCTTCCAAACCTTCTTTTTCAATTTAAGGATTTGCTCTTGAACTTCCTTATTCCCTTCAAATCAACCACTACTACACTTATATTGTCTTTGCTTCCTTTTTGCAAAGCCATCTTCGACAAATACTCGGCCGCGGACATTGCTGCAGGATCTTTTCCTTCTCCTCTTTTCTCGGCCGGAAGTAAAGCCTCTCCGGCCATCGCGTTCTTCTTGTGCCATAACAAAATCCGTTTCCGAGCCAAATCGCACACTTCTTCGTTTGTCATTACATCCCAAAGACCATCACTTGCTAAGATGAGACAGTCGTCTTCTTTGACTCGCCGGACTGAAGTCACTTCTGGATCCGGAATTACTGATGGTTTTAGGTACCTATCGCCTGTTTGCATCGGGTTAAAATGTAAGGGAACAACTAACAAGAACCAAATTCAGGGAATATTTTCAGGATAAAGTTGAATCATTTACCAATGGATCTTGACATTGCGAGCACACCAAAAACACGAGCCCCGTTCCACCGGATTACTTTCCCTCCAGCTGCTTCTATCCTCGCCGCTTCATCATCTCTATCCGGCTACACATAAATTGTAGACCCAAACGCTATAAGGACATTGACCAATCCATAGAAACATGCTATGATTGGTAACACCATAAGAAAAAACCGCAAGTCCTAAAGAATTATATGATTGAAATTCTGCATATTACTAACTGTTTAGAGCCATTCACAGAAACTGCATATTACTAAGTGTTTTAGAGTCATTCATAGAAACATCTATACTTACTTTGTGATCGACGGATAACGCAAGTGGCGTTTTGCCGCGACACAAAACCGCCCTCGAGTCGCCGCAATTCGCAACAAAGATATGAGTGGGAAAGACAACGGCAACCACCGAGGTGGACCCAACTGTTTCCGGAGCATGCGCCACGGGTTCAATCTCTGAGTCAACTCTCATAAAAGAGTTGAACAAAGCCTTCTTCCACTTCTCTTGCCACGTGTCACCGTCGCAAAACTCCGGCTTCTCCTTCACTATCTCCTCCGTCAAAGCCAGATGCATCCTCTCACGACAATAATTCGCTACCTATACACACAAAAAAAAAACAAATCTCAAAAACCAAGTTTTTTATTGCAGAATCCGATCAAATCAAATCGATCCATTACCTGAGAACCACCATGGCCATCGTAAACACCGAAGAAGTGAGCACTCAAGTGAGGATTAAATCCATTAGTGACTCGACCATCAAGCAACGAATTTGAAGAAACTTGAAGGAATCTAGGAATCGTTGAGACAGAATCTTCCATCTCTGGTCGTCTTCCACAAATCGAAGTCACTCCATATAAAGGAACACTCTTGAACTCGAACAGACTTCTACTCTCTGTTCTACTGAGTACTTTCTTCTCACTCTGATTCGTCGATCTCGAATCAAACTCATCTGAACCGTTGATTTCATCTCCGGCGGAGATATCCACGGTAGCATCAAGTACACCTGCCATAGCAGATGACGAAGTTGATGATAATGATGATGTTAATGAATCTTGCCTCGTGTTGATCTCAAAGGATGAATCTTTCATAGCTCCGTCGCCGGAACAAGAACTTTCCGGTAACGAAACCCTAGATTCGCCGTTGCAATAGCCTCTAATTCCGGCGTGAGGCTCAGGGAATGGTCTGAATGGAACAGCGACTGCAGGAGAAACTTCGTCCATTAATGGAAGAAAAAAAAAAAAACTTGTTGATCTTTAACAAAGACCCAAATCAGGAATCAAATTTGGAAGAGAAAGGAGACAAATTGAAGTTTGATATCTAGTTTCAAAGAGACAGATGTTTGATTGTTAAAACGCTTCGGTGTAAGAGAAGAAACGAAAAGTCGACAGATTTGAACATAAAAATTGATGAGAGTGTTAACTTTATTAGAGAAGATGAAGACAAGAAACTCATGACTCATAAGAGGAAAGTGAAGACAACCTTAGCTAGCACATGAAACAGATAGAGATTTGCCAATTAAAGAACCAAAACATAAAAAAAAAAATTAATCAGAGTTTCCTGGGTTCTGGGCAATTCGTTTCAGCCATTTAGAGATTCTGATCTCTCTCTCTCTCTCTCTCTCTCCTCAATTAATTATCAATTTTCAGCTTATTTTTTTCTTTCTTTCTTCACAAACAAAAAGTTTAGGGAAAAATAGGTTTTAGAGAGAGAGAGGTCTTTATTTATTATAGCACAAAGATAGATATTTTAGTGAAGTAAAATAATTTAGATAGACATTTATTTATTTATTTTACTAAGAACTTCCAATATGGAAACGAAAAAAGAGTATATTTGTTTTATTTTTGACTTTTTTTTTTCTTTTTCTATTTATTGAATACATGTTTATACGTTTCCTATAGTACAAAATATCCTGCATTTACAAATATACGTTTTGAATTTTAATTTTAGATAAATCCGAACTTACACTTACACATTGAGTAATTTACTCTTTCTAATACTTTTTGAGTTAACAACTTCTGTTCATCACACAACAAAAGAAGAAGAAATTATTGATTTTATAGTAGAAGATGAAGACACCAAGAAGATATACAACTTATGATACTTTTTTTTTGTTTGAATTATTATCATTCAAATTTTAACTAATTAAAAACGTCCCTGAGTTAAACTAATATTTAATACTCTTTTTTCAAAAATAACTTTTATTAAATTAATTGAACATATTCATCTACATTAACCAAACTAGTAGAAAAAATGCTAATAAAAATACTGAATTTAATCTCAACACTTTAGAAACTAGAAAGCTTACTCTGATATTGTTGGTCCAACTTTCATATATCATACAAACTCAAGAGTCTTAATCCTACTCATGCAATTATGATCCAAAAGCTAACCAATTCTCTGAATTCGAAATCATTTTCCCAAATAAGTGGGATTTGTGTAGAAATGAGAGCAATGTCTCACCAAGCTTTGCCTAGCCCAAATTATTTAGTGTGGGCTCTTTTTAAAATTAAACTTTATAACTACAGTAAAACCTCTATAAATTAATAATGTTGGAACCATGATATTTTATTAATTTATAGTGTTATTAATTTATCTATAAATCAATACTTATTAATTTATAGCTTAAATTAATATTTATTAATTTATAAAAAGTTTTGTTTCAATTGTGAAAACTTTTTTTTAAAAAATACGAGTTAAAGCAATGTGATCTAAATAAAATTTTATGTTTTGGATGTTATAAATTTATAGTTTTAGCCTTAAACACTTAATATTTCGAAGATAAAAATAATTTATTTTGACAACGAATAACAACGATTATAGAATTCACATATACAAACGATATACATTAATTAAAATTCACAAATAGTGACATTCATTGTTGTATTTTAAAAATCTATACGACTATTAAAACAAAAATTATGCATATTTAAAATTTGAAAACTTACAAAATTTTTTGGCTATTTTTATGAAAAACACTAAAACTATTATATATATATATATATATATGTGCAAATTTACATGATTATTAATTTATGATATTATTGGAACTATATTTTTACATAGAGATTTCAAAAAACTTATTATCTTATTATCTTATCGAATTTGGTTAATTTTTACACTGACCCGACTCGGGACCGGCCAAATTTATTAATTTATCGTGTTTATTAATTTATCGAGTATTAATTTATAGATGTTCTACTGTATTATTTTCCTGTCTAAATTTTTCTCATATTATTAAACAACCAAAACCATGACTCTTTTTTACTGATTTGTACACAATAGAATGGTTTGTTGAGTTTTGCCACTTACAGATTTTACTAATAACTTAATACATTAAGAATATCAATAACTGCAATTGGGATGCCAACGATTCCATAACCATTTTTTCAATAGTCTTAACAAAATAAATTTGTAGTTTGACCCCCGAAAAAAAAATGGTAGTAAAAAATTGAAAGAAAAATTACATTTGTAGATAGAGTTTAAAATAAAACAATGACATTCGGGTAGATACCATAGACAGAATCTCAGAAAGGATGAGAATCAAACTCAAGAAGTGTTGTGTTGTTGATGAAAAAAAAAAAAAAAAGTGTTGTGTTGTGTTGTCAACAGATGATTCTATTGATAAAATTCAATCTTTTTTTAAATAACAATAAAGTGGGTCCCATTCTTGTCGGGAAACAGACCGGATGATCGCCACGTAGACAGAGAGAAAAGTCATTAGATTTGGTGAAGAGGATGACGTGTACGGTGAGGGATCTGTTAGTTGGGGTGGCGGGAAAAGATGAGCCAAAGAGGTTCATTGCACTGACCTAGACAACCCCTCTCCTTTAGCTTCCGTACATATCTTGTGTTTCCTTTTTTTTATTTGGTGTCTGTTTTATTGATTTATTTATTTTTAGACAACTAATACGTTTATTCCACGTGTTACATAATCATTGGACCATGTAATGATATGTGAAGTGAAGGTAGCTTTGGATGGGCAACAAAATACACTGAACCCTTGTTTGAAAAATCGCTAGGCGCTAGTCGGGCGCTCGGCATGGGCCTAGCGATTAATCGGAAAATCGGATTAAAATCGGGGATTAATCGGGGATTAGTTTTAGGGTTATTTTAATATTTTTAAAACATATTAATCCAATATTATTTTTAAAATTGCAGTAAACACATAAAAATGTATTTTTGAGACAAATATCTATGATTTTTATTAAAATATGAACATAAATTATTGTAAAACATTACAAACTCCCAATTCAAATGATTGAATAACAAAAATAAAAAGTTTTTTTATACTGGCAATCTAAAAATAATCGGGGTATGTAAGATTAGGCGGAGAATAATCGGATTAGGCGGGGAATAATCGGATTAGGCGGAGAGTAATCGGGTGACTGATTTCTTTAAGGGATTAGTCATTAATCGAAGCGGACAGGGTGGGCCTAGCGATTAAGCGGGGAGTAATCGGGTCTAGGCGGGGATTTTTAGAACAGGGCACTGAACCAATCATATAAATTTATAAATAAAACGTAGATATGAAATTTACGTTTATTTTATTTTATTTACTTACGATTTTATGAAACAATATATAATTTAATGGATATGAGTCATGTGACCTTTATGATTTTATTTTTATTTTTGAGATATACGTAGACAGATAGTCATAGACTCATGCAAATTTTTAAAAAAGTTAATTCAAAATTTTTAGGATCTCTCGCAGCTGTCAGATAAAGTAAAATATCTTTTGATAAAAAATAAAACAAAATCAGATCATATGGTATATGTGTCACATATTTTGAGATGATCAGTTGCTACACGGATCTGTTAAAAGGTAGTAGTATTGAATAAAGTGGCGGGCACACAACATCTCAAAAATATAGAACAACTAATTTTAATTTCGATTCATTAAATTTAGTCAATATGATATAAAATACAAAATGTTATATAAAATTAGATCACAGTATTTCTTGATTTTTATCATAAATCTTAAACATCTAACTCCATTACAAAGGTAGAAAAAAAAGGAGAAAACTAACAAATCTGAAGGTTATGTTTATTGCTGAGTTATTTTAGCTCTAAAAAATAGTCATATTCACCAATTGGACTGGGCTAGGCCCATCGAATCTCTTATAACTTTTTTTTTTTATCAAAAATAAAACATGTTTTGACTTTTTGCCACCACATAGCATGTTTGGTTTTTCTTTTTTTTTTTGTTGAAACAATTAAATTTTTCTGTCCACAATACGAAATTGATTTTCCCATGTGATTATCGGCAGATTTTTGAGTACATAGTACGAAATTAATTCACATCCATTAATTTTTGATCAACGAAATAAGATTGAGATTTTTTGTTTTGTTTTTTTTTTTGTATATAGTGTTGTTAAGTTACCTTTAATTTGTGGCTCAGGTTTTGTTAAGAAAACATTAAATTATTTACTGTAGAGACAAAATACCTCATGCTCGTGTGTTGAGTGACCTTAATCCAAGATTCTCTTCCATGGCTTCTATATTCAGACCTTCAGCTTCGTTTGATTTACGACCAAAGGTATCAAAAGCAAATAAGCTTCTTTATTCACTCATAGTTTTAGGTTACTCGAATTCCAGAAATTGTTCTTTTAGGGTTCTTCTTACCTTTTGGAGGATCTCCAGATAGTAGTCTTAGACGCTAATTTGGCTAATTTTTGGAAATTTACGGTATTTTCTTTAGTTTTCGAGTAATTGAATTAAGAAGAGAAATTAGAATTCAATATCGATTATTATTCCTTGAATTGATGATGAATCTTTTTTGGTATATGGAAGGTTATTTGCAAGAAACTCTCTACGAGAGAGCGTTTTGAGTTCCAGAAGAAGAGTCTAAGGAAAGAAAGGATCAATGTTAGGTTTTGTAGCTTGAAGGCTAATAAAGCACAAGGATCAATTGAAGGGATTAGTGTTGTAGAAGAGAAACAGCTCAACAACAAAACCGGTAATTAACATTATTAGCAAATGCCACCATTTATCTAGACATTAAGCTTGGCTTAAACCGGTTTTGATTGTTGATTGTTTTTGTAGATTATGGAGTTGTTGGGGTTCATCACGTTGGTCTGCTCTGCGAGAACCTAGAACGGTCACTCGAGTTTTACCAGAACATTTTAGGCCTTGAGATCAACGAGGCAAGGCCTCACGATAAGCTTCCTTATAGAGGAGCATGGTTATGGGTTGGTTCAGAGATGATTCATTTAATGGAGCTTCCAAATCCAGATCCGTTAACAGGTAGACCCGAGCACGGAGGCCGGGATCGACACGCTTGTATAGCAATCCGTGATGTTTCAAATCTGAAAGAAATCTTGGACAAAGCTGGTAGTTATACATTTTGATTCTTGCTTTAAGGATGTTTCTTTTTGTTCTGAAAGACTGAAAGAAGTATTTTGATTGTAGGGATCGAGTATACGATGAGTAAGTCAGGGAGGCCAGCGATATTTACTCGTGATCCAGACGCAAACGCTCTTGAGTTCACTCAAGTTTGAGTTGAGTCTATTTGTAAATGAATCCTCTAAACTTTCACTTGATTATAAGTTGTAGATGCTCTTCATATAGAACAGAGAAAATCAAACCAAATTGTTGTTGACTTATTATTTAATACCACAATAAATATTTAGAGACATGATACACCCGATTCAAACAAGTTCAGGGTATTTATACCAAATTAGACTATATTGTCTATATACTAGTGTGATCAATAGGAGCCAAGAGTAGTGGAGAGGCCTAAGCGTAAACGAGATCGCCACTCTTGTA